TAATGATGTTCAGCAATGTGATTGTTGACGTCACCATTTCTTGTCACTTGCTTGTGTTCAGTCAGTCGCAGGCTAAGGTTTCGGCCAGTTTCACCAATGTAAATGGCCTGGCGGTCGCAGCATTATATTTTGATCTTGTTACTTCTCCCTGTCTGTCCTCCCAGTTTGTCTTTGTCCTTAACAATTAGTAAGTAGCCATCTTAAAGTGGTTATCGGTTTGTGTGCAATGCATATGTTGTAAGATTACCTTTGTCCTTTCTTTCTTTTATACGGATTTTCCCGGGGATTGGCTTCTCCTAATATGAATTCTTCTAGACTAGGACCCTCTGAGATAAAATTTTTCTTGTCTGGAGACAGGGAACTCTTCAAACGACAACTACATGACAAGCCATTCCTTTCAAGCTGAAAAAAGGACAGTAAAAAAAAAGCTTGCGAAACAAACACGAACTACCGCATTCATTTCAAGAGACTCTAAATGGCTCGGCAGTGGATGGCTTTGCATAACTCGTTTTGCTGGACAGCGACCGGATGAAACACATTTGCAGACATTGCAAGCTAGACATTGCAGTAAGAGCTCCAAAATCTATTCATACCAAAAATTAAGATTTTGATTTAGCATTAAGAACCTTAAAAAACTTACCGTTTTGCTAACTGAGAAGAAATGCCTTGGTTTCAAAAGCAGAACTCGGTTCATGGTCGCCATATTGAATAATACATTGCATAATGCTTGGTTCCAGTCTTTCTCTTCCGCTCTCACCTCCTGGCTGGGTATCCTGTGCGTAAGTTTTAATTGGGGAGGGTGGGCCGGGGTATGTTCGAATTTTTTTTTAGCGAAAAAGGTCGTGGCCCTCCCACCTCCTGGAATGGATTGATGCATGCCATTCACAAACAACCGCTCAAAAACATGTGACCTTTCCCCACCCTGATTCAACACAAAAAAACCGCAAGTAAAAACAACTAGCCGGAAAAATTACTCAATCCGCGTTCTGGTACACCTTGTCAAAGTTCCCGTTTAATAGAAGGCAATACAATAAAAAAAAAAATAACTCGTTGGAACCTCCGAAATGGTGACCGCAGACGATGACTGCAGGTCAGTTTTACAGTAAGTCCGGGAATTTATAGCCTGTTCCAGGCGTTCGGCCGGGGCGTTCGGATAGTGGAGTGCGGCGCAAATTCAGTCAGTCGCAGGCTAAGGTTTCGGCCAGTTTCACCAATGTAAATGGCCTGGCGGTCGCAGCATTATATTTTGATCTTGTTACTTCTCCCTGTCTGTCCTCCCAGTTTGTCTTTGTCCTTAACAATTATATTAGTCTGAGTAGCCATCTTAAAGTGGTTATCGGTTTGTGTGCAATGCATATGTTGTAAGATTACCTTTGTCCTTTCTTTCTTTTATACGGATTTTCCCGGGGATTGGCTTCTCCTAAAATGAATTCTTCTAGACTAGGACCCTCTGAGATAAAATTTTTCTTGTCTGGAGATAGGGAACTCTTCAAACGACAACTACATGACAAGCCATTCCTTTCAAGCTGAAAAAAGGAAAGTAAAAAAAAAGCTGCGAAACAAACACGACCTACCGCATTCATTTCAAGAGACTCTAAATGGCTCGGCAGTGGATGGCTTTGCATAACTCGTTTTACTAGACAGCGGCCGGATGAAACACATTTGCAGACATTGCAAGCTAGACATTGCAGTAAGAGCTCCAAAATCTATTCATACGAAAAATTAAGATTTTGATTTAGCATTAAGAACTTTAAAAAACTTACCGTTTTGCTAACTGAAAAGAAATGCCTTGGTTTCAAAAGCAGAACTCGGTTCATGGTCGCCATATTGAATAATACATTGCATAATGCTTGGTTCCAGTCTTTCTCTTCCGCTCTCACCTTCTGGCTGGGTATCCTGTGCGTAAGTTTTAATTGGGGAGGGTGGGCCGGGGTATGTTCGATATTTTTTTTTAGCGAAAAAGGTCGTGGCCCTCCCACCTCCTGGAATGGATTGATGCATGCCATTCACAAACAACCGCTCAAAAACATGTGACCTTTCCCCACCCTGATTCAACACAAAAAAATCGCAAGTAAAAACAACTAGCCGGAAAAATTACTCAATCCGCGTTCTGGTACACCTTGTCAAAGTTCCCGTTTAATAGAAGGTAATACAATAAAAAAAATAACTCGTTGGAACCTTGGAAATGGTGACCGCAGACGATGACTGCAGGTCAGTTTTACAGTAAGTCCGGGAATTTATAGCCTGTTCCAGGCGTTCGGCCGGGGCGTTCGGATAGTGGAGTGCGGCGCAAGGAAAGAGATAATAAGGAGGAAAAGAGGGAGAGAGGAAGGAAGAGGGCTATGACCCCTACCCTACCCCCTGGTTTTTTTTTTTTTTTGCTGCTCACATCTCTTTGCGCTGTCCCCACGATCTGAACGCCTGGAACAGGCTAGGGAATTTAGGAAGTGACCGATTAATAGAGGTTCGCTTAATACAGGATTGGCTGTAGGTTTCTCTTTATTTGATGTTGTTTTTTAGCGTTGTTAAGTTGTTGCTGTCTTTTTACTATCAGTTAAAGGGCTAAAAGAGAAAACCAACGTAATAAAAATAAAAAACCTCGGTTTCTTTCATAGTAATCACAATGTTGTTAACCGAACTAAGTGATGACAAAGTGAACTACCGATACATTATAGTTATGAAACATATATCAGTTTGAAAAACGGAATGAAATATTTAACCATAGCTTCAGTTACATTTAATACATGGTTTCGGTTGATTTGTCTAGTTCCAATGAAACGAAAAGAAATGACCAAACATCTTGGCAGTGATGGAATAACTTAATTTAATTCAAAATTAATAATCCTTACAACAACCACCTAAGGACAAATTCACACTCTTATCCACAGACTGTGCTTTAAATTAATAATATAAGTCAGCCATGTTGATGGCCAGTGTAAAAAGAAAGTTCACAGGATTCCTAGAGAGAGCATTACTTTTGTTCTTGACCACCAACATAGCCGCTTGGACTGTTGGAAGTCACATGCAAACCAGTGATGAAATATTTAGCATAAAATGGACTTGGTGATGGATTGTATTCACAAGCTATGCTACCCCACTATATCACAATGAACCAGGTATAGACACTTTCAAACATAAAATAAACTAAAAACCTGAAAATCATAGATTGACAAGGTTTGACTTTTTCAAACTCTTGCAAAAAAATACCAACCCTTGATTTCTCATTAACTGTAGATTGTTCAATTCACATAACCATTTGGAATTTTCACATCTGAGCATTAAAAATATCTATAATAAAAATAACTATGATAATGATAATAATAATAATAGTTTTATGGGCACATGTTATTATATACAACAAATGAATGTGCAATAATCATGTAAAGTAGAAGTTCAAAAATAAGTACAATCAAATCCACTAAAGCCTGTGATCAAAGCCTGGTTAGTAATAAATTTTGAATATTCTTATAACTTAATTTGCAAAACGACAATGGCTTCATTAACAGGCTGATCATGGCAAGTACTCAAATCCTGGTACAAGGGTGGGGGCCTAGAACAAAGATTTCAGTGCTGTTTTGGAGATGATACCAACCGGGATTTGATTACATCTGTGAGGCAGGTTAATCTACTACTGTTCAGGAACCACAAGGACAATAAGACTAGTGATGAGCGTCTGGATCATCAAGCATGAAATCCAGGAAGGAAATGAAACTGGAATTTTGAACCACATATCGTTCATGTAAAAACCATTCTCAGGCAAAACCAGTTATCAACCTAATTTGATTTATAATTTCCTTTGTTTTCAAGCCTTAATAAAAACAAAAATTGAAATTAGTCTGGAGGTTAACCTGAGAACAGATTTTACCTACAACGTAGGCAGTGAGGGATGGTTTTGCATTCTTGATTGCATTCATTATATACTTTATCTCATGGCCTTGCATGCTCTCTGTTTTAAGTCAGATGCCCTATCATTGATCAAAATTCTTCTTTTGTTTTTTTCTCTGTCTAAGCATTCGAGAAAGCTCAAAGATGCTTTTAGCTTCCTCTAGGAGCTAAAGATCATAATACACATTAATGCCAGATTTACATGGAGAAAAGACAGTTGTCTTGGGTAGGTTCACACACTGAAGTTACCCTGGGCAAGTCAACTTTTCACACATTTTTCCTTACAATGCATGGTGAACCATTTACATGAGAAACAAAGAGTTGGCTAGGCTAGAAGGGTGACCCACCCCCAATGGTAGCGTCACCCGCCTGGCCAGGCCAACTATTCTTCAAGTAAACACTTTGGCACACCCAGCCAGGTCAATTCAGTCAGGGTGAGACAATAAGAGCATGGGCAAGTGCTCTTTTAGACAATCATAGCATACTCAAGTGCTGTTTTAGGTAGTTAGAGCATTCATGAGCACTGTTGGCTCAGTCAAAGGGATCAACTTGTTCCTCGTGTAAACACTCGATAGGGTTGACTCAGCTGGGAGGGTGACCCTCTTTCCTGGGACAACTTTTCTCCAAATAAACAGGGCCTAAGATATTTACACGCTCAGATTTCTTCCTTCACACCAAGATTACAAGAATCAAGAGCATTTCTCAAATCTTCTACGTCACAAAGACTTCCCACAACTCCAGAGCCTGCACGGAACACATGCATGGGTGCTCCTTCCTCCCAAGTGTCAGTCAGGGGGTTGTAGGACTCCACTGAGTTTAAATATTGATCTCCATTATGACCTCCAACTGCCCACAGACGTCCTCCCATGGCACCTGCACCCACCCCTCCCCTACAGGTCGTCATTTTTGCCACATAGGTCCACAGGTTGGTACGAGGATCGTATCGTTCTACTGAATCCAAAGGAGATGAGTCATCAAATCCACCAATGGCATACAGGTACTGTCCAATAACAGCAACACCAACACCTATCATGGAAAAATAAGCAAAAGGTAAACAAAACTGGAATAGAATTGAGAGAAGAAAGAACTGTTCACCCAAATAAACTGAAAAATGACCACTACAAGGCCCTTTAATAAACAGACAATTACTTCCTATGGTCTATACACTGATTTTAAAATGGGCAAAACTCATTTCGATGGTCTGTAAATAAAAGTAAACACTACAGAAAATTTTTGTCTATTTGTTTTTAAAATAATGTTTACAGCTTTAAACATTTCCATGGTCTATACTCTCTTAGAACATCGTTCTTGACCAATCAGCATCGGAAAAATCACTCAGTTATTTTAAAAAATTCTGGTAGCAATGATGAGGTGGCCTCTGATAGTGGTTTACAGAAAAAGTAAATGACTGAGTGGTTGGGTTAAAATAATTTAAAGATAACTAAGCAACTTCTTGCATGCTGAGGTACGGTCCATGGTTGGTACGTATGGCTTTAGCAAATCTTTTATGTAGGCAGGTGCTAACCCTTTGAGTGTTTTATAGGTTATTAGTAATAATTTAAAAATAATACATTGGCTGACTGGAAGCCAGTGGAGATAAATTTAAAATAGGCATAATGTGGTCATACTTCCTGCTTCACGTAATAAGTTGAACAGAACTGCAGAGTTCTGTACATTCTGTAAATGATTGATTAAAAATTTGGGCAGACCATACAGCAATGAGTTACAGCTATGCAATATCCAGGGGCTAGTAGAAGAACCTGTCCACTTAGGGTTTTTTGGTTATGAGTTGTCTGGCTGGCAAGCAACAATTGTGGAGATAGAGATAATGTTGGTGAAAAGGGAGTTGGAAGGCCTGGAAAACTTCTTCACACTAGTAAACTTCAGCAACAGCTTGCCCGAAAGACAAGCGATTATTTTCATTTTCTTCTCATCAAGAAAAAGTTATTCTAATTGATAAAAACTTCTTTTAAGGCACACTTGCAGCCACCTGGTAGTAATTTTAGACCTTCCTCCTTCTTCCATACAGCTGTCAGTTCCTTTTCTATACACATTTATGTCACACAGACTTCTGTGCATCTAACCTGCTCTTCTGCGATTCATGGGTGCCACTCTGCTCCACTTGTTTGTGTGAGGATTATACCTCTCCACACTCTGAAGTGATGCCGCGCCATCATTACCTCCAACAGCATACAGATAACCCCTCATGCCAGCAACACCTACACCCCCTCGTGGCATCAGCATAGATGCAACTGTACTCCAGCTGTTGCTCTCCGGATCATATCTGCGTAGAAAAAAAAATAATGGTGATTCATATTATCAATTGCTGGTCTTGACTTCTCCTTAGAGAGCAAACACAACATTTACCAAAGAAGCTAGTTAACCTCTGCAAGTTATATTTAACAAAGAAAAACTGTTGTAAACAAGTCCATTTAGAAAAAATACCCCTTCACTGTTAAAGAACTTTAAAAAAACTTCAATAAAATTATACAGGCTTGTGTTGTGAAACACGATCTGAACTTCAGGACATTGATATCAGACTTTGGCCTTTTTTTTTCCATTTCTATCAAAGGAAAATAATTTATAATTTGTGGAATGTGACTTCACTTAATAAGCCTAGTACTTTATTACTGATCTTAAAATTGTCAGTTATAACACCTTAAACAGGAACAAAATGACATAAGACAAGGTTGGAACCATACAAACAAACTCTTTATCCAAACCATGAATATTTTATTGGTGTTATCTGGTACTTGTATTAAGTTCAAAAGTAAAGCATAAATCCTCAACAGCTATTATTTTGATAATCTCACAAAATGGATTAAAAGTGCAGATTACCAGACAAAACTTTAAAAAATACAAAATAAACTATGGTTGTTTAAAAAGCTAAAACTGGAAATATGTTTCTTTTCATATTTACTCCAATAATATTATTTTTGTGTCATTTGCATTTGTGTTGGTTTCGGGAATAAGCATTATTGAAACTTGATCCTTGTGGCCTGTTTCATTACCTAGCACATGGCCACAAGTCCACACAAAAATTTAATTATCATGTGATTTCTAGCTCTTCATGAAGCTTAAATTCTAAAGTTTTTATACTTAGGCCCTGTTCACACATGTGACACAAATGGAAATGCAAATACAAGAAAATAGATGGGTGAACTACATCAACGCATATACAAGCATAAATGCAAGCGCCAACTCAAGGTATGGAAAAAGTTTCTTTTTCTTGCGCTTGCAACTGCACTTGCAAACACAAGGATAAAAAAATGGTTTCATGTCACCATGGCGAAATGAAGTTGAAAGCAAGATGGCATCTTCCAGTTTTGACGAGAAATTGGCAGAGAGTGTAAGGAAATATACAGTGCTTTATGATAAACGTTGTAGAGATGTGGCAAATTGGGACCAATGTCTTATGATAGAAAATATAAACTTACAGTATAAACATATATTTTCTGTTGTATTGAAAAGGTACTTTTTTCATCCCTTAAGCACACTATATACGAAAGCAACAACAAGAAGACTTAATGAGGCCAAAGCTTTTCACTCTTGTCGGCCATCTTGGAAAAAGTTTGACTGCTTGACTGCACCTATGTATCTTGCCTTCCTTGCATTTGCGTTCGATGTTTTAACGTCGTTTCCTTTTTCATTTGCATTTGCGCTTGCATAATTGTGTCACACATGTGAAACAGGTCTTAAAAGGCCAGACACATACCTTTCAACTGACTCAAAACAAGTTGTTTCATCTAATCCCCCAGCAACATAAATTTGCCCCTCCAAAACACCAGCTGACATTCCACGTCGAGAAATGTTCATGGGGGAAACTTCCCTCCACTCGTTAATTTCAGGGTCAAAACATTCAACAGTGTTCAGGTGGTGTCTACCATCATGACCACCAATCGCATAAACTTTTCCTGTCACAGACGCCACAGCAACATGACGTCGAGGCGTGGAGACTTCTGCCACTTCAAACCAACAATTGTGGAACCAATCATAGCATTCAATACATTGAAGAGGGTTGCCAGACTTCCCACGGCCACCAACAGAAAATAATGCACCAGATGTTGATTTACGAGGTTGAGTTCTGATATTTATTTTCACTAAGGAAGGAGAAAGCTTTACATTCTTAGCTTCATCAACCAAATCTCGACATGTAAGGTTGTTCTTTACCATGCTAAGTCTTTCAACATGCTGTATGATGTAATCATTTGCAATCAATGGTAGCCGTACATGACTGAAAAGTTCTGGTAGGTACTGTTCACGTGACACCAAATCATAGCGAACCCAGGCGACGACAGCTTCAAAAACTTGTTCTTCACGTTTTATGAAAAGATCGTCCCCAGAAATAATGGAGAGGAAATGTCGAAAAGAGGTTTTAAGTAGAGCCTCTGTGTTCAAAAGACTCAAGAAACAACTTCTAGAATACACATCTGCTGCATCAATAAAGTCTAAACAACCGTGAAGCTCAGCATAGGCTCTCATCTCGAGGCAGTTCGAAGGGTGCAAATGGCGCTTCATAAATTCGCAACAAGCATGGACGACCAAGTCCAGCTGAAATACGGCTGCTGCGGTCAACAGCGCTTCAATATTGTCAATACTGATAGTTATTTTTCGGGTGTATATAAAGTTTATCAACTGAACAACTGCTTCTTCAGAAAGTCCCTGTATTTCGATTATGTCCTGAGAACATTCCAGCATTTCGTTTGTAAACATGCCACGAAAATACGGACTGCAGGAAGACAGCACTACGCGGTGGCACTTTACTTTTCGGTCTCCAGCTTTGATGACCACATCGCATAGCTTCTGTTCCCGGAAAAACTGAATCAAAACGTCAAAAGCCTCATTTGGAAGACTGGTCGATTCGTAATGATAAGTGTCAACAATAATGTCTCCCATGACGAGATTACTAACAAGATTCCAACTTGTCTGAAAGCACCATTCGTTTGTTAGGGTCTGTTAGCTACTGTTTCGTTGTCGCTAAAGCAAACAAACTTAATTACTTCTGAGCTGCAGCTGAGTATCGCATTAACAACCAGGAAACAGAAAGGTCGAGAAAAGGAACTAAACTGTATAAACTCAGAATATGGCTGCCGGCGAGGTGGACTTCAGTCTTTTTATCCTTTGTGCCTCTTTTGTTGCTTTGTGTCTATTCCCAGGTCTCCTCTTCCGCTTTCTTGCTGAGCCAGCGATTTTCTAAATTCCAGCTGGAGAAGTCATACAATTTCTTTTATTTTTATTCTTATTTTTAAGGAGTCTTTCGGGGCCATTTAAGGAAAGAATGGAAGCAAAGAATTCAAATTCACTTAGACTGCGAGAAGTCTCTCTTTTTCTTCAGTAGTGCAGGGCATGCACGCGCGCGTGTCTCACGAGTTTCGCTCGGCTGAGTAAGAAATAAGAGACTGCTCGTGGTCTAAAGTTCACTGGTCTCACGACGTTTTACTTCCGTATTTTCGAAACATTTGATATGGGAGAGCGGGGATGAAGGAATTGATTTTAAAAAAAAAACGGTAAACTGATCCTCAAGGCATGAGGAATGAGAGCATAATTAGATTGCCCACCCTTTATTCCTACGTAGCCTCCGTTGAAGTTAGGCGTCGAAAGAGTATATACACTAGTTGTTTATAAGACGCTCGGCTGAGTAAGAAATAAGAGACTGCTCGTGGTCTAAAGTTCACTGGTCTCACGACGTTTTACTTCCGTATTTTCGAAACATTTGATATGGGAGAGCGGGGATGAAGGAATTGATTTAAGAGCCCATGACTTTAAATATCGAGAATCGCTGGCCAGGCTAAAAAAATTGAAAATTCTGATAATTTGTCAGAAAAACCCCTTTGGGGAACTATCTTCGCAAAAAATATTTTCAACTTATAAGAATCTATAGTTTTCGAGAAAATGAGGAAAAACGAAAATAGCGGTTTTTACCTAATTGATTATGCAAAAGTTAGAGTAAAAATGACCTACTTTATCGCGTCTGTACCGAGACAAGATTCAAAGCTATAAAACAGAATTATTTTTGTTTAAAAGAATTCTATC